TATATGTATAAATATATAAATACACACACATACACACACACACACACACTCGCACACACACACACACACACACACACACACACACACACACACACACACACACACATACACACACACACACACGCACATATATATATATATGTATATATATATATATATATGTATATTTATATTGTGGATTTAAGAACTATTCAGTTTTGATTTGTGTGGGTTTACAATGTATTGTGTCGGTGTTCTTCTTTGTGTAGGTTGAAAAAACTGTCATGTCGTGGGCATATGATGCCTTTGTTCTATAAACCTCTGAAGCACAAATTTGTTTTAACTCGATTGTAAGTTTGTCCTCGTTTTTCATATTGTTTACTCATATGCCTATTTATCCAACCATTTCAGGATGTATGCGAGATCAGGCCCGCGGAAGAGAGTGTCAATTGGAATATGAGGACTACATGGAGTGTCTTTACCACCGTAAGGAGGTATGGAATTACTCACCGCGAAGATGTTTGCACATCCCCATCCAACTTTCGTATACTCGCTTTTTTTTCTGTGATGTCTGTTTCACCTCACTTAACCTGTTCTCACATCCTCAGTGACCATATAATAAATTGATAATGTAGCTGCGTGACCGTATGTGCCTGTGTATGCATGTGTCAGTAACGGCTGGTTCTACAGCCAATCCCATTGTCAAAGCTTTGTTTAACAACCCGTTTGAGTGTTTGCTCTTCATGTGAATAAGATAGGGCATGTCTGTTTCCGGCGCTCGGCTTACAGGATATACACGAACTCCCGAATGTTGTTTGGAAACAGATGCATAATTTACCTGTGACCATTCAATCAGCAACTATCTCAGGAAGGCAGCCACAGTTTGTAGCGAATCGTATACACATACCCTCTTGCTCTATTGTGTGTCCTATTGTCGCGGTCTGCGTCTTTGTGACAGCGCTGAATTCTTCACCACTGTTTATATAATCAACATGCCAATGTTTTTGTATAGGTTGGGAGAATGGAGGCTATCATGGATCGACACGACGAGTTGAAAGCACAGGGTAAGCTGCCGAAGGAGGTCAATCAAGAAAAACCTGTACACTATCCGGCACTCTAAGGAACGGTTATCCGATCCGGGTGGATGTACGGGCGGGCCAACACAAGCGCTTATGACTCTCTCGGACATTTATATCTGCAACACTGAGTGGAACTTTTTACAGGATATGGCAATTTGGCGTCCTTTGGCATCGTGACACTATTTCGACTGTATTTTGGGCTAGAAGATCTCGATTAAAGTTTGCAACGTCTCGTGTATCGCCTATATTTAACCTATATCTTGATTAACAATACATTTTAACCGAAATTAAAATCGTAGAGGGAGTGTTCGCATTATAAATACATACTCAAGTGGCCTGCTATTCTCGGTATATGTCTCAGGGGTAGCATTTGTATGCTTCTTGTACTTGTGCCTGTATTTGTTCACTATATAAACTCGAAATGACTCTTCTGGTACTAATATACATGTATGTATATACGTGTACATGTATACATGTATAGAATTACTACAATTTCGGGCTTGTCAGTTTGCCGTCCTTTGTCATCGTGACACTCTTTCGGTTGTATTAAGGGTTAAAAGATCTCGATTAAAGTTTACAACGTGTACATCCCTTATATTTTAACTATATTTTTATTGAATATATTTTTATCTGAAATTTAGCTTGTACTCGGGAGTGTCTCTTGCGTTTGTGCACGGGATGTCAGCATTCATGAATACATACTCAGTGACCTGGTAACACTCGGTATATGTTTTTGGATGCTTTTTGTACACGAACCTGTATTTTATTCCCTCTATAAGCTCGGGATGGCTATTCTGGTGCTGATATACGTGTATGTGTATATGTACATATATGCATGTATATAAAACATTTATGTATATATGTGTACATATATACAGGTATATACATACAAAATCTCAAACTGATGAGAGCAATGTCGGGTATTTTCAAACCAATTCAATATCTGATGAGCCAGGTTACGCGCCGGTGTTACCGTCTTGCACTTCAGCAAAGGGCGTACATATTCTTCTGCAGGACGTTTGTTCTATCAAAGTGTGGCGGATTGTTTTAGGGTTTGATAATTAAACAGTGTACCGGCCTGGCCTCAGTGTGTTGTACGGGCGGGAATTTGCTTCCGTATCATATTCACCCCAGCACGTTGGCCAAAGTCTGGAGTGTTTCACAAGTGAGATAGGAACGGGTTAGAACGAACGGGAACTAGGACACATAGCTATGCTACACGGTAGCCTCTTTTGCCCTGTGGATGGCCTCAATTGCCATATATTCTGGGGAAGCTGTTGGTAGACCCAAAGCCACTGATCACATACGTCTCTTGATGGATGCATGTGTTTGCGCCAACCCAGATGAACTCCATATGCGTAGAATATCTACGTAGAAGCGCACTTGTGAATGTCTTGCGGACGCATGAGTATCGCCATGCAATTACAGCCCTTTGCACAGGATCAAATACAGATTTATCAAATACAGATTTATCAAATACAGAATTCAGAATTCAGCGTATCTCAGGCTACTGAAGGCAACTAATAAGATACTCATGACCCAGCGCAGATTAAATCGCAAAGCCACAAATGTACCGACTGCCACTGAAACCATCGGTGCAGCGAATGACGTACGTGCTTGCGGCCGCGACTATGGCCAGACACAGGTGTAAATGGGCCTGAAACTTCGTTGACAGACATACCTGTACATCCTTAGATGACAATGCTTGTACGGGATGTTGTGGTCGTACGCCAGCCTGTTTCTTGGCGCGTGGGCGTAGACCCGCCCGCCTCGCCGCCATGAGATTGCCTACTTCTTTCTGCAGCTCATTTGCGGACTCGCACACAAAGGCAACGTGCTCGCCGATATTTTGGACTGAGCACGTGGAGGTGCCGTTGAATACAGGATCAGGTTTATGAAGAGGGAATGTGATTGGGTATTCACGGTAGTGTGGGTGTTTGGATAAGACCAGCACCAGTCACAATGTAGAGAAATTGCTGAAGTTCTATAGCGATTGGCGCTTCTTCAGAACAAGCGGGGAGACACTCAATTATGGTGAGAGCGCAAGATCCGTTTTGAAGGCTAGATTAGTTTTTCCATGGCAACTAACAGCGGGTTTGACCTTTTCTACGTAATCGTTGAATCAGGCACATACAGTATACACGCTGATGAAGGCGCAAGTAGCAATATAGTAAGCACTGGACGTAACTTATACTCACCCAAATTTCACGAATATCAGTACGCACAGAGAGCAACGCTTATTGCTTATGTTGGGCCATTTCACAGTCAGAGTTACAGCAATATCGCTAACAAACCAAGCTAAATCAGCCCTTACAAACGCATAAAATCTGCACAAAACAACCACTGTACCATCGTTTTCCACGCACAGCTTGGTCAACGCGTCTATCTTCTGGGTTAATTTTGTAAGGGTCACTTTTGCCTCCTCCAGTTTGATCCCTTCTACTTCCAGGACTGCCTGTCGCATCTTCTCCTGCGACACGAATGAAGTTTGATCAGTGTAGAAAACACACTATTAACAACCTTCCCACCACTACCATGACTATAATGAAGTGAACAAGCGAAACATGTATCATCCCGGGAAGATGTGTCTCTGCCTGCCCCACTGGACGAATGTTACGAAGCGACACTCACCTAATCTGATGAAACGGATTGAGGAAAAGTCGCAAGCCCAAAAAGCCTTGTACATTATTTTACGATAGATAGTACTAGCTGCTGTAGCGACGAGATGAGAGACAAAACAGCCGCTCATCTTGAATATAATACGTGGCAACAAGAGAAGGCCAAGCTTACAAACATATCGGGACTAGCAGAGAAGGAGCATGCTCACTCATACAGTGTAATCATGGCTTCGGCACTTAACATACTGTTTTGATTGCAGACTTTAACCGCTGTACTTCATCGTCGATATTTTGCTCTTCCGTGCGCCCATACGTATTTACAGCAGTCTGTTGCACCATTGCCAAATGATAAGAAAATACATAGACAGGAATGAATAGGGAGGAGACCACAACTGCGCTTTGCAGGATGTAGGAATACAACCGAATGAAAGCATTTAATGAGAGATCACCTACAAGCGTTCAATGGTTAGCATCAATTGTGTTACAAAGTATATCTATGGTAACACACACGCGAGAATATATATGTACGTGCCGTATATTGTTACCTTGTCTGTGGGAATCCATACACCCTCCGGTATGTGAAAAATATTTGCCAGAGCGTAAAGCTCAAATAAATCGAAATTGCGGTCAATAGCGCTCTGCAATTTGGCGAGTACATTTTTGAGGTCGCTAACAGCAACGTCTTTAGGCACACCCCTTTTTAATTGGACCACCAGCAGCTCATCGATGGCCTCAAATACAGCGTCATTGATGGCATTAGTTACGCCGTCCGTGAAGGAAACCGGCGTGAAACCGAAGTACTGTGAAGTGGGTGGATTGAAAAACGGTATAAAACAAGGCAAAACAGTACAATTGCTTATGCAAATTTCACTAAAGAGTGTATTCGTCCATAACGAAAGCCGGAAAATGAAGATACTTTACGACTCAATAACAACTGAAAAACTACTGTCCCCAACTAGCAGTGAATATATATATACATACATACATACATATATAAATATATATATATATATATATATATATATATATATACATACACACACACTATATATATATATAATATATATTATATATATATGT